CCCATACCCCTCATAGCCCCCCCCTTCTGATAGTCTGGCAAATCTGATAATCCGGCACCCCCTGGATCCTAAAGGTGCCGGATTATCGAAAGTTTACTGTAGATCCACTTCAAGCTGTTCCCTCTCATTCCTCAACCCAAAAGCTGTTTTATTTCAAGCACATTTTTTTGAACCAGTGGTCCTCAACCAGGGAGTATGTGTACCCTTATAGGTATGCAGAGATCTTACATGGGTACCTTCAACTCATGTAGATATTTGCCTAGTTTACAATAGGCTACCTCAAAAGAAATAGGAAAGTCAATACAAATTAAAATTTCATACTATCTCTTGTTTGTTGCTCTATACTGACATATAATGCAATATTTACATTCCAATGATTTATTATATGGTAAAAATCAGAGGTAACTTAGCACGGGGCTACCATCCACATGACTGCCCTCCCATGTGACTCCTCCCTGTACCATTCCTAGGCTGCGGAGGGCTAGACAACGCACTCTGCTCCAGCTCCTACCCCCTCCCTGCTTCTGATCCATCTCTTCTCTGAACCCCTCCCCTCTTTGCAAGTGATGCAGCCTGCAGGACTAGTGGTCCCACCCCCATCCGTTGATCAACACACCAGGGCTATGTCTACACTCACGGCTTCTTGCGCGAGTAATATGCAAATGAGGCTTAAGTGTGGAATATTGCTGAGCCTCATTTCCATACCTACTGAGCCACCATTTTTTTCAGAAGAGGCTCTTGTGCAAGAAGGAGCATCTACCTACGTTTCAGGAAGAACGGCATTGCGCAAGATGGTGCAGTGTAGACACTCCTTGTGCAAGAGCCTCTTCTGAAAAAAATGGTGGCTCATTAGGTATGCAAATGAGGCTCAGCAATATTCCACGCTTAGCCTCATTTGCATATTACTCACGCAAGATGCCGTGGGTGTAGACATAGCCCAGGAGAGCAGAGTGAACTAGGGCCTTGTCACCCATCTTTTCTTTTCCCCCCCCCCCAGTGAGTGCAGATGGGGCCTCACCCTTTCTGCTGGGGCCAGGCCCTCCCACTGGTTCCCCAGGATTTGGCCCCACCAGCTACTTGTCCCTTGCCCATGGTGTTTGGAGACCACGTTTCACCTCGAGCATCGCCCTTGCTTTCAATGAGAAAGTAAGCCGTTTTTCAGCAATAATGTACTGTGACACTTGCATTTCTATGTCTGCTTTTGTAAGTAAGTTTTTTTGTTAGGTGACATTTAGGAGGTACACATGAATCAGACTCCCAAAAGGGGTATAATAGTCAGGAAAAGTTGGGAGCCACTGTTCTACAGCATACAAAATGCCAGAACTGGTAAGGTACCATAGGAATTGATGTGCTTTAGAACATTTCTGAACATTTGAAGGGTATGGAAGTGCTTACATGAGTAATAGGTTCCAGGAACAGGCCTACAGTTGTTATTTTTCCAGTAAAATTATTTGCAGTGTGGGAATGCTAACCATTTCCCAAGCAGCTTGGTTAAATTCTCTATTTTTGGTGCTATGTACTATGTGCCTTAAAGAGTAATTTAGTTTCTCTCTTATATTTTATAGTGTATGTATTTCAGTTATACCTATGAATTATTCTAAGAAAGCTCTAACTTTTTTATCATGGGAACAGAGTGGCTTCAAAATGGGGACTTACAAATACTAATCTGATTATTTCTAAAGCACTTACAGACTTGGTGTTCATTGTAAGATAAAGGTGGAAGAAATACATGTTTTGCCAACCCTTGTTTTCCATCCCAATGATGAAAACATTTGTTCACACCTCACTAATTACCCATCTTGTTTATTGCAACTTCTCTCTTATCTGGCCTCCTTGATTCCCCTTTGGACAGTCTCTCCAAAGCTTATGTTCCTCATGTATCTATCAGGTCATATCACTAACTCCCTCTTGCCTACCACACGAGTTTTAAATGTCTTGTTTCATTGCACAACTCTACCTCAGCCTATTTCTTGGATATCTTTTGTTAACACTTTTGCTCCATCAACAGTAACGGCCTCATCAACACCTTCATTCCTTCAACTGTTTCCAGCTTTATTTCTTCTTCATGCTATCTCATATGCATAGGATAACCTGATGCATGTTCCATAGACACTAATCTTATTGTTGAATTTGTCTTTTCTACTCTAGATTTATACCAGAGAGGTGTATGGAAGAAGACTTCTTACAAAAAGAACTGAAGGCCTCATTTCTTAATGGGTTTACCTTGCCTTTGTCTACCTTCTAGGGTACAAATTCCATGGAGCAGGAGCTGTATTTCTTTGAGTCTTGCACCACCCTGATTACATTTAATATGCTTAGCAAATTAAAGGTGTCAGCTGCAGTTTTTAAAAATGTTTTACTATCAACTGCCTGCAAAATATTTTCTGAGAATAAATAAACTGAAGAAACTGAAAGTATCCCTCTGTCCAAGGGAAAGTTGTTTAAAATGTTTTGGGTCAATTAGAAAATAAGTTTCTGGTGAGGTAATTGCTTACCTATGGTCAGCTGCAGATGAATTAGTGGCTTTCCAATCCACCAGCAGCTACCAAAGCTGATGGGGTGAAAGGACTGCCCAAGGAATCAGTGAAGTCTGTTTTAACAAGATAGTAATGGCAGCTTGAAGTGAAGGGATATAGAAGAAGGAGGCTTGTCTCTCCATTGTCAGGGAATTGGTCCAATGACATTAAAATGGCAGAGGGACAAACGATCCAGGACAGGATGCAAAATGTGAGTACTACTCAGGTTTTTTCTGTTTGTCTTTGCCTCCCAGTTTGTGCCCACAACAAGCTCTATTTGCAAGAGGCTTGTACACCTGCCCGATTACGTACCTGACAGGAGGTGGGCAGCAGCCTTTTACCTCAGGTCATTAACAAATACTACCAGCTTGGAATAATTATTTCTGTTTTTAATAAAGCTGTATTTTTCTCATAAATACAGCATGTCTCAAAAGAACACAGTAATGTCACCCTGACGTGTTTGTGTAACCCACACACCTATGGGGTTTGGCTCACAGTCCCATGTAGTGGCACTTAGACCACTTACAGTGAGAGATAAGAATGAGTGAGTTCTATAGCCTAAGTTGAGAGTCAGTTGGCTTTATAGCTCAAGATGCATTAAGTTCCCGAGTTCCCCAGGTTGAATTAAAGATATTAAGTAACAGTTAATTGACTAGTCTAGTCGAGTAGTCAATGGAATTTGCATTGACTACGCGACTAGTCAATAGGCACTTCCTCATTCGTCCTCTGAAATGTACAAGAGTCCCCCACTGACCCAGGCTCCATGCTACGCTGCCGATTGGAAATGCCACACAGAGCTGGGGTCATCTGGGGACCTCCCCCGCAGAACACAGGCTCTGCACAGCATTTCAGTGGAACCCGGGATCAGCTGATCCCAGTTCTGTGGAAATACCACGCTGGAGCCCAGGATCAGCTGGGGAGTCCACCAGCTGACCCCAGGCTCCACGCGGGGCAGCGTCATACAGCTGACCCCGGAAATCAGCTGTGTGGCACCATCCCTTTCAAATGCTGAGGTGGTATTTCAAAGGGATGGCACAGCTGCTCTGGGTGCAGGGGAGATTGACTAGTCCTTAACATCCCTAGGTTGAATCTGTCTGTCAATGGTTACACTTGCAACAAACCTAATACTTTTTTTAAATATTAGGAGCCAAAGTCCCATTTTCAAAAGATATAGGCTTTTGCGGATCCCGGGGCTCATCTAATTAACACTAATTTTTAGTTCTTGGCAAGCAAGGGTGAAAATCTAACCTATACTAGATTGCCATG